GAGACAGGAGTCCTTCCCTTTACCTACCTTGGGGGGAATTTTGCCATTTCCCCCTCTTTTAGACTGGGCTCTGAGCTACAGCCCCCTGTGTATCAGCTGTTATTACGCTGCTGTTTGGGCACCGGTCAGGAGTCTGTGCCCAGCACTGTACAGTGATCAGACAGTCTTCTTAAAACCAAAGTATTGTTTATTTTTAGCCATAGAAACAAAACATTTAAAGAAAAGGATTTTAAAACAATAAACAGTCTGCATACACCTATCCTACCCAAAGGCTTGCCATCTCAATGTCTTCAGACACCCTGAGTGAGGCCTGTGTGTCTCAGGCTGGTTCCCCTGAACAACCTCTACCTCTCTCTTGGGGGAGAAACCCTTTTAAAAACAGCCAATATTCTTTTTTCTTCTGTGTTCCCACGCTTTGACCTGTCTGGTCAAATGAGTCCTTCAGGTTAGCTGGAAGGTCAAAATCATCAAAGCTCATAGCTCTGGCATTGTCCCTTAACCACTCCAAAGTGTGTGCCGGGTGTCTTTTCCTTCCTGCTAAGTTTTTCCCTAACAGTACTCTATTGAGTTAACACAATACAGAGATATAGTAAACATCCTAATAAGCAAGCCAGTTAAATATGGACCCTGACAATTGTAAAGGCACTGTGGGGCAAATCACTAATGAATTTAGTTTATGTAGTTAACGCTGGTGAAACTGGTTGTGATGGATTTGGAGCTATTCATGGATACAGCATGTTGGCTTGGCTGTTAAAATGTTTACTCTTTTGGATTCCTGCCATCTGGGCAGGGTTATAAAAGGAAAGAGGAAGCTGGTGGCTTGGTGGAAGTATGTGTCTTCTACCCTCCCAGCTGGCTGAAGGCTGGGAAGCCTTGGGGGGTGGTTAGCCAGTAGTTTGAATGGAGATTTTTTTCTTTCTTTAAATAAAGCAAGTCCTGAGGAAAGATGTGAAGAGTCCTGTAGTTGGGACTTTATTTTTCCATCCCTGGCTGCTGGATCTGCACACCAACTTAAATGGATGCTCTTCAGATACATTCATTTACACTGTCATATTAATTTGTCAGCACCAATTCAAAGTTTGCTTTTGTAGAAAACAAGGATGTGTGGTGGGAGATCCTAACTCCTCTAAGTGTGGATATTCCATGACTAGGATTTTTTATCCCTGACTGAATCTATTAAATGCTGCCATCTCTCCACTACTAAGCTGTTCACAGCCTGTCTAGGTCAACCAGAGGTTCCTCTCTAAACCTGCTATCTGCTCCAGACCCATCCCCCTGTGTGACTGAGTGCCATAGCTTTCTGTCCTCTCTCCTCTTCCCAAAGTACCCCAGACTAGTTGGGTCACAGTGATTTAACCACCTCTTCTATCCAACACCATGTAGAACAGTAGTGATCTTCCCCTCCTCCAGCATGGATTACAGCCCACTTCTCCTTGGATAATCCTTTGGGTTATAATCTCTTCCTTCTTCCTTCTTAGGTATACCAAGCCCTTAACAATTTGCCCCTCTGGTTTCCTCTTGTAGGAGTGAACTGCCAGCTCGTGTTGTCTCCCTGCTCTCCTGATCCATGTGAGAACTCTGGAATCTGCCAAGAATCTCCTGACTCGGAGGGCTACACCTGCCAGTGTGCTGCTGGCTGGGAAGGTAATGGGATGGGGAGGGACACTCTTCCATTCTGAGTTTAAGCAGCAGCATGGCGGCGGTTACATCATTGGAATCTTAACCTCCAAGGTCTTGTTCTCAAACCTTTCTTGTTTCAGGCCAGAGATGTACAGTGGATATAGATGAGTGTGTGTCAAAGCCTTGCAAGAATCATGCTGTGTGCCATAACACTCAAGGCAGTTACTTGTGTGAATGCCGCCCAGGCTTCACTGGAGGAGACTGTGAGAGCAACATTGATGACTGCCTTTCAAGTGAGTGCAAAATGGCTAGTTCTCTGAAACAGGCAATTTCCTATTTGCCCTAGAAACAACTTTGCTGTGGTATTGATGACTGCTATTGGTAGATGCACGGAACAGTTTCTGTTGTTATCCTTTATTTCAAACATGTTCAACTTTGTGAAACTTCCATTTGGGGGGCTGAAATGACCTTTGCTGGCTCTCTGATGGAAGCTGGCTGTAGTATTTAAACAGTAGGAGTTTATGCTCAAGTTCTGAATTTACAAGGGTAAAAATGTTCTACACACACTCCTAAGGGACACCATCAAATTGAGAATCACATCTGAAAACGTTGTGCCTACTGAATGAAAGTAACGTCTTAGATAGCCAGAAGTAAAGAAACTAACTATACCGTTAGATTTTTCTCTTGCTAAACCCATCCTTTATAAACGACAGAGGAACAGAAAAACACTTAATGTTTTTCGGGAAGATATGTGTTTAAAAGTTCAGGTTTTACAGCTTTACAGAGCTGTATCATAAACTGAATTTTCTTAAATTAGTGAAGTATTTTAAAAATTTAAAATTTCCTTTTAAGAAAGTTTCATTTTTTTTCAGGAATAGTTCAGACAAATAGCAAAGAGCTAAGCTTTGGGGGAAATGATTTAAATGCATGAAGTTTGCAGATAGGGTTCTATGCATGTATGGTAGTAATAGCCACCCAAGGGAGATTAGTGATTCTCCAGATCCATCTTTCAAATGCTGTTGCAGAGACAGATTTAGCATCTCTGGTTCAGCCTCTTTTGAATGCCTTCTTCTGAACAAAGAGATAGAAAAGAGAGTCAGTATTAATAATATGTCATTTTGATTTGATGTACAGATCTTGTAGACTTGTCTGCTGGAATGATGGCTTTAGATGGTTAGCTCTATCCCTGTCCTGGACTCCAATGTAAAATGACACTTGTATATGCTACGTTTAAAAATGTATTTGTATGGCATATTTTGATAGTTATAAAATTTCTCTCAATTCTTAAGTGTTTTTCCCTATCTCATGGTAAAGTCAGGAGATTTGTCTAACACATATCCCTATTAATTAAAACACACCCAGGAAGGAATTAAGAGACTTTGCGAACTTCTCCAAATGAAGTGGGCTGTGGTAGTAATGAAAACTTTCCTCCTGTGGGGCCAAGAGTGTCTTTAACCTCCAAACTAAATACCCCATCCAATAATGGAGCCAAAGTGATGAGCTGAGTTCCCTTAACTTGTTTGTAGATATGCTGGGCAGACAACTGAAATGTCCAGCTTTCAGCTGCAGTCATAAAGGGCTGGCTGCCATAGACACAGTCTTTTATAGCTGCCAAGGATCTGGCTTTTATGTCCTTGTCTCTGCAATAGTCAGATGAGCTTTACATGGGTGTAGGTGTTCCCTCTTACACTGCAGACTTTAAAGATATGAAGATATTTCTCAAATGGTGCATCCTTGGATGCACATTTGTGTAATCTTTAATTCATAATTAAAACCTGTGTCTTAATGCACCTGCAAAAGAGGACAGAATACAAGTTGTACTGAAGTTTAGTATTGCTTCACTAGAGTTTCTAACTCTGCAGCCTTAATTTTGCTTTTCATTTTTGAAATGAGCATTATGGCAGCATAGATCAACTCCCTATTGTGCTCTCCAAATGTAACAAAGATATTCCTTGTCCCAAAGATCTTACAATCTAAATATAATCCAACAGGTGGATGCAGGCAGGGGAGCACAAGGAATCAGTGAGCATGACAGGTTGTGGTCTCAGCACAACAGCTGCCTAGCCATTAAATTTTTTCTTAGGAATAATGGCAAAGGAGGGACTTGAAGGATGATGAAGTAGCTTTGCAGGCTATGGGAAGCTCCTCCCATATGTCAGGGGCTGCATGGGAGGAAGAATGAAGGTGCTTGATTGAAAATGTAAGAAGTGATGCTGAAGGCTGGCATCACTGGCAGAGTGAAGGTGGGAGCCGACATCTCGATAGCATGAGAGATGAAAGGTTGGCCGGGGCTAGGCCTGGAAAGTGATGATGAGCAGTTTGCTTGCGATGGAAAAGGTTGAGCCAATGGGAGGGAGACAAATAGAGGGATGAAAAGGTCAGAGCAACTGAGCTAGGAAAATGGTCTTTGCAGCAGCAGCACTGTGAATGGACAGAAGGGGGGCAAGACGGCAATTGTCCAGGCCAGAGAAGAGAAGGTTGCAGGGAACAAGTACCTGGACAAGAGTTTTAGCTGTTCTGATGGATAGGAAAGGGCTGAGTTGAAGAACACACCTAGGTTATGGGTCTGAGTGACAGGGAAGTGTGTGGGTCTTTCAGTGCCCCTTTAGGGAGCACCTTGCCTCCTGAGGGCAACCTTACCACACCAGACAGCAGCATGGGTGATGCTGGATCAAATCTCAGCAGAGGTGTATTCAGAATCACAGCTGGGGAGATCCCCAGCTGAATCAGTGTGCAGCTGAGCCTTCCTAGCAAAGTGTCTGCTCACTTCAGCAAAGCACGTCAACCCAGGGGTAAGTGGTTTTCTATACTGGGTGCCTTAAACAATGTCTGGGGAAGGAGTTTTGTTGTCTAGAAGTCTGGACAGGGCGCTCTCAGGACAGAGGAGCTAACTTCGGTTGTGTTGTCTGTTTATAGAGGTTTGGGTTGTGAGGGGGAAGGGTTGAGATTTAGGGTTCATGAAGGGAATGGGACCAGAGCTTGGGCAGTTGGTTTTGTTTTGGGTGAATGAGAACCTTGTAAAATAAACCTAAATTTCCAGAAGTATTTTCTTGATCAGAGCCTTGTGTAAAGTTTTGTCCTTTATGGGATAATCCTATAGAATTCAAATTATATCCCTGATATAGATTGAGTCAAAAAAGTGTGTAAAAAGGCACTTATTTTTGAAATTGTGTAGCCCTTTTGCATAAGTGCAGCTGAACCTGGCCCTGCCACGGTATCTATATATCCATTGTAATACATAGTGTGTTGTTATTGCAGATCCCTGCCAGAATGGAGCTTCATGTGTGGATGGGGTGAACTCTTTCTTATGCACTTGTCTGCCTGGGTTCCAGGGAGATAAGTGTCAGACCGATATAAATGAATGTCTGAGTGAACCTTGCAAGAATGGAGGCACCTGCACGGACTATGTCAACAGCTACACCTGCAAGTGTCAGGCAGGGTTTGAGGGGACCCACTGTGAGAACAACATTGATGAGTGTACCGAGACGTAAGTATATGTTTAAATATGGAGGGAGGGGGAGAATAGAGACAGAACACTGTCCAGTGGCTTAAGGCAGTCATGTTCAGGAACAACCCTGGGGACTGCTGTTTTCCTGCCTGGTGTTGTTGGGACATGCTTGAGCCTCAGAGATCAGGGATGCTTGCCTAGCTTGTGCTCTCCAAAGGTACCAGCTCAAATAGAACTACACGTCTGGGTCTGTGCTCATTGTGCAAGTCCAGGTGGCAAATCCCATAGTTCAGAAGTTTGGGCCCACTGTAACCAGTTACCAGTAGGTTGTGCGCCTTGTGCATGTGGGTGTGAATACCGCCCCCTTCCATTTTGTGATCAGTTCCTCCTTGATTCCGCTTAACAAAGGAGCTTCGGTTGGTGACCCGGTTCCACATTTAGTTAATTTTGTCTCTCATGTACTCAGTTAAGAAGCATGCATCCTAGTATATTAAGGGAATTGGCTAAAATTTGTTGAACCATCCACTTCATATTTTTGAAATATAATGGACTACTGGGAAGGTACTATCAGTCTGGAAAGCAAATGAGTTTACATTTACAATAGAGGTTTATGCATAAGATTGCCATATGTGACTGGGTTTTTTTGGTTAGGATTGCTTTTTTGGGTAGAATTACTAAATTAGTGGGTAAAAGTAATGTCAGATGTAAAATAAAGTATTTGCCACTGTCTCAGTGTAACTTGAAAAATTAATTCAAATTGTCTTGGATAGGATCACTATTATATGGATTGAAAAGTTAAGACTAAACAAACGGGATTGATTAACCCTGTACCAAGCTGGAGGGAGGGGAGGATTACTGGTGGGGTAAATACAGGCATGGGGGATGGGCCTGATGTTATTTAACGTGTTTGTGAGTGATTGTGAGGAGGGAGTTGATCTCTATTGAAATGTGCAGATGGAGCTAAAAAGGAGTTGTCAATACTGAGGAGGACAGAGAAAATACAGATTGAGCTAGAGAACTCAGGATTACGGTCTGAAAATAGTGGAAGCTAATTAAAAACAGGAACCATTAAAAGCTTATGAAGAGGCAACTAGGAGGCTTGGGACATAACTCCTCAAATGTTGCATCTGGAAGGGTGTAAGCATCAAGGAGAGGAACTGAGTAGAACTAACTTGGAGTAATGGGACCAAAATTAAGAGAACTTAAATTGGGGTGGAAATCTTCCTGAGAGATGTATTAGTAAGCAGTTTCCAAACTTTATTGGTTCATATACATGTGTTGTTATCTGGACCGGTGATCTGCTAGGTCACTCCAATCCTTGAGTCTGGGAGCCCGCCTTACCCTGCTCTGCTGTGATAACCCCCCACTCCTGGTCTGTTCACGCACAGCCTCTGGCATGTAAGCTGTTCCTTGGATTATGCAACCGAATGACACTAGCCAATATTTCCAGCCCCAGACACAACCCTAGGAACCTCCGTCTTGCAGTGTCCAGTTATGCTCGCTGGATGCTGCAAGCTTATATGAATTTGTCAGTTTAACAAAGAAATTGATATGTACCAGGCTTGTTATCCCAAGAGGAGTCTCTGACATGCGTCAAACCAAATGCACTGCTTCAGGTAGAATAAACAAATTTATTAACTATGAAAGATAGATTTTAAGTGATTATAAGTCAAAGCATAACAAGTTGGATTTGGTCAAATGAAATAAAAGCAAAACTTAGCTGATCTTAACACTTTCAATGCCCTCACCAACTTAGATGCTTCTCGCCACAGGCTGGTTGGTTGCCTTTCAGCCAGGCTCTCCCCTTTGATCGGCGCTTCAGTCGCTTGGTGGTATGGTGTCTTTAGATGTAGGTGAAAGAGACAGAGAGCATGGCAAATGTCTCTCCCTTTTATCATGTTCTTTGTTCACTCTTGGCTTTGCCAAGACCCCCCCAGAGTCAGGTGAGCATTACCTCATCGCAGTCCCAAACTAGCCAAAGGAAGGGGGGTGACTCACTCGAGAGTCCAACAGATCCTTTTGTTGCTGCCTAGGCCAGCGTCCTTTGTTCCTTTGAGGCTGGGTTGGGTTTGTCCCATACCTGCCCTGATGAGGTGTGAACTGCCTCTCTGCTCTTGGAGTTTTTGTGCCTGGGCTTATTTTAAGCCATGAGGATACATTTTCGGCCTCACAACTACATACATGAAATTATAACCTATAAACTTACTATAACATTACTGTAACAACAATGCTCAGTGCATCATGAGCCTTCTGAAGACAGCCAACATGACAAACTTTGCATTAGATACCACACAATCATTTTACAAGGATGAACATGGGGGTGCTGGGTGTTTCCCTGAGGTACAGAGTGTCACAATGCCATCTTTTTTAAAAACAAACAAACTTATCTTTGAAGTACCACATGCAAACTTTTCCATTTTGTGGACATTTATTTTAGCTCTTAATAAGTGTAACTTAAGTATTTCTAGACTGTATAGTAAAATAAATACCTAGAGAAGCCTAAAATGTTATATTATGACATCATTTTCAAGCCCTTCAGGTAGTTAGACAGCGAATCAAAAAGAAACGCCATGAAGCAGCCATTATTATTACAATCAGCCATGATTATTATTTCTCTTGTGTTACTGAAATTGCAAGAAACAATTAATATATATTTGTCATATTGATATATTTTGGTGTGCCACTGAACTATGTCAATGGCTTGATTTTTTAATTTGCATAATTTAAGTTGGAAGCTTATATGGATTATTGTTGGACATGGGGCAAAATTCATTTTGCTTCCCTTTTACAAAATTTAAATCAAGAAAAATTACAAAATATGATGAGTAGTTCTCAGAGAAGACAAAAAAGTAAAGGGTGTGCTTGCCTTATGGAACATAGCTGCTTTGTCAGAGGAGAATTGTGAGCTTTAGCCGAAGGTCTGGTGCTACATTGAGGTTCATCCTATATTTGTTGTTAACAGTGATAAAGATAGAAAAAAGTCTCACATAGATACATAGTGCTGAAGGGCATAACAAAATTTCATAGCTCTGCCAGAGCAAAGCACCTCTCTCCGAGCTTGTCTACACTACGCAGCTTTTAGTGACAAGACTGTATTGACACAGCCTTGTCGCTAAATGTCAGCGTGTGAATGCTCTTTTGCGGTATTTTGTGGACACTTTTGCCGACAAAATACTTCGAGCCCCGCGAGCGGCATAAGCTGCATTTACGCTGCCGCTTGCGTCGGCAACACTTTTGTCTTTCGCGGGGGGGGGGGGCTTTTTTAAGTACCCGCGAAAAACAAAAGTTTTGGTGACAACTGTGCAATGTAGACATACCCTCTTTCTCAGCCAAAAGTCACAGAGCTGCACTTTGTTGAATTTGAGTTTGAATGCACCGTCACATGACAATCACCTCCTCCTTTCCCTTTGCTGAGAAGCCACCTGGCAGGGTATTGTCTTGTCTTGAAAATGGGTCCCAGATCCATTTCTCGCTTGTTACACTGGAGGGAGAGTTTTCATTAAACTAGATGACCAAATTCAGGCATTTTTCTCTGATCTCAGTAGTGAGGTCAGGATGAATTTTGTGGAGAAGTTTTTGATGATTGCTTCCCAATTCATTTCTCCTAAGTGAAAATAAGCATGAGTTCAACACCCAGATTTTAATAGAACCTTTAAAGCCTGATCCAGAATCACTATCAGATTGACAGGCATTTTTAGCAAGTAGTGCCTCACAATGAATACAGCAGCAAGTGAACTTGGCATTAGGTGCCAGTTGAATTTTTGCCAAAACACCACCAAATTTCCCAGTCAGGACTCTAGGTCTCTCAGAGCACAGAAATGCAATTTTGCCACTCTACACCACTTGCTATGATAAACTCATTCAGTTTGTTAAATTTCTTCTACCAATGAACATCTTGCTAGAGAGTCACAAAACAAGAATTCTTTTACTGGAGTTTGATTGAAACATGATTCAATAGAAAAAGGTTGTAGGCATTGGAGGGAATTTAGAGAAAAGCAGCAAAACTAGTAGTAGGATAGATTTGAGGAAAGTTTAAAAGAATGACATATGTAAAACTTGGCTAGGTGCAATAAAAGTGACTGTCTACAAAACACAACCAAAAGCTGTTTACACCTGGGAAGCAGAGGTATTATTGAGGAGTAATAGAATCAAATATAGATGAGGAAAAATTAGGCTAATAAGAGATTTAACCTTCTTGAATAGTCTCTCTAGACAAGCAATGGAATCCTCTTTGCTTGGGTTATTTAAAGCTTCAGAGGCCAGGGCTTTGTTCTGCAAATGTAAAGTAGGGGTCACTCCTGTGTGTTCTGGGGTGCATAGCCAGATATAGCAGACTCAGGGAGCAAAAAATGGTTTGGTGTGCCCGCTCCCCAAAGCACACATGGTACTCTCTGGTCTGAGAAATCTGCCTCACAAACTTGTCTTTGATCAGCAACATAGACTGAGCTTCAGTCTAAAAGGTGGCTTGGTACTTATACACTGTGATCTACATGGAGGGGAGAATTCGAACAAAGGGCGAACAAGAGCCAGTTGCTGGAAGCAGAAGCTAAATAAATTCAAACTGGAAATAAGATGCACCTTTTAAAGTGAGGGTAATTAACTAGGAACAATTTATCCAGGGATATGGTGGATTCTGCATCACTTTGTCTTTAAATTGAGATTGGGTGTCTCTCCAGAGAAATGCTTCTAGCTCAACCAGAAGTCATGGGCTTGATGCAGGAATCAACTTGGTCAAAGATGCAGAGATTAAGACCAGAAGAGACCATTATAATCATCTAGTCTGACCTGCTGTGTAACACAGGCCATAGAATTTCACCAACTCTAACCCCACCACCATGAGAACTCTCCTCTGCCAAAATAACACTAGTTCCTCTGCATTTCGGTCACATGGTTACACATTGGTATGGAATGCCTCTGCCCATGCTGTACCCTAGTCTCTGGAGAACTAGGCTAGTGGCTCTATCACAGCACAAAATTCACAGTATGGCAAACAATGGAGTGGACTGACAAAGCCATAGTAAGTATGCTGTAGGCCAGCCAAGGGACAGAGCAGATGATCCAATACAGCTGTTTATCTCTCTATTGTCTGTATGTCCTATACAAAATCTTTGGCTGTCGGTTAACTTGCAGTTTGTCGTAGCTGAGTTTTGTTTTCATGTTTATTTGTTTTCCAGTTCTTGTTTCAATGGAGCCACTTGTGTGGATGGGATCAACTCCTTTTCTTGCCAGTGCCCAGTGGGATTCACTGGGGCCTTCTGCGTGATGGAAATTAATGAATGCGATTCCCATCCTTGTTTGAACAAAGGGACTTGTGTGGATAGCCTGGGGACCTACCAGTGCATCTGTCCCTTGGGTTACACTGGGAAAGACTGCCAAGTAAGTGGCATTGAGTTCAGACTGTTACAGCAATTATTTTGTCTGGTCCATTCTCACTTAACATTTTCATTTGAACTGTTACACAGCAGAAACAGTGTACAGCTGGTGTAGACACGGCTCACCGTGTCTAGTACTTTCTGTAATAAAGCCTCTGACCCTGCTAAACCCATTGTTCTAACAGGGGCTTCTTATGCTTCCAACATTGGGTATTCCACACAGCTTGGGTCTGTCCACTTTAGCAGTCACACCATGTTCAGCCACTATTTGGGAGGGAGGAAGCCATATCTGTTAACAAATGAGGCACATGCTTTGTAGAGAAGACCGCATCAAGACTTTTCCAGGTTAGTTCTCTACTCAAACCAGAAGGGGTATTAGCTCTGAATATAGCGGTGGCTGGGTCTCATTCTATGTGTAAACTTGCCTTGCTTGAGGTCAGAGTCTGTGTTTAAATGAGGTAGGCCCCACTTGGATGGAAACACACAGATCTGGGTAACAAAGCCCACAATTAGCTGTAGTAACTATATAGTAACTTTCCTAGTAACTATGCCCTAATCTACACTGCAAACTTATACTGGTATAACTATGTTGCTCGGGGTATGGATTTTCCACACCCCAGAGCGACGTATACCAACCTAACCCCTGGTGTAGACAGCACTATGTCAATGGGAGGGCTTCTCACATCGACACAGCTACTTCTTCTCGGGGAGGTAGATTACGTACGTTCTCCAGTCGCCGTAGGTAGCATTTTCACTGGCAGCTGCGCCGCTGCAGTACTATAAGTGTAGACAAGCTCTATGATAGATTCAGCTGTGTGTTCTCAAACTAAAGTTTTCCACAAAGAACCAGTCAAGGTAACTGGAACAAACATCCTGTCTGGATCACAGACAATCAAAGGAACTCTTGTATGGGAATAACTGACCTGATCATCCAGTGTATTAGATTCAGTAAAACTAAAATAGCACAATGAAGCGGTTTTGAATTCAGTAAGTGGGGTTTCCCATCGTACAGTATACCTGGAATAAACGTCAAAGCTGCTGCTCTGTTCTGCAAAAGATTCAGCAGTGATTATCAAACATCTCTGCATGAATTTGACATAACATGACTGAAGTTTAAGGAAGTGGTAGGAAGCAAGCAACTGAACTGAGTTAATCAAAACTGATAACGCTGATAACATTCAAACAGTGTTTGAATTTTACTTCCGAAAGGATTCGTTCTTATCTCAGTCTTGCCACTCAGTTCTTTTAACTGCAGAAAATTTGTTTGTATTAATTCAAAATAAAATGTGTCATTAAATGAAACTTGGCTTATTGATGTGAACATAGAGCACTAAGTTTCATTTTGCCAGTAAGACATTTGTGATGCTACTGTAATTGAAACATAGCCATGATGCTTTAGGTCTCTGTTCCAGCCTTGCAACAGTGAGCTTCAGCATTGACTTCATTCACGAGCAGGCTGATGAGCTCTGTCATTTATACGGTGTCAAGTATCAGGGGGTAGCCGTGTTGGTCTGTATCCACAAAAACAACAAGGAGTCCGGTGGCACCTTAAAGACTAACAGATTTATTTGGGCATAAGCTTTCGTGGGTAAAAAAACCCACTTCTTCAGGTGCATGGAGTGAAAATTACAGATGCAGGCATTATATACTGACACATGAAGAGAAGGGAGTTACCTCACAAGTGGAGAACCAGTGTTGACAGGGCCAATTCGATTAGGGTGGATGTAGTCCACTCCCAATAATTGATGAGGGGGTGTCAATTCCAGGAGAGGCAAAGCTGCTTTTGTAGTGAGCCAGCCACTCCCAGCCCCTATTTAAGCCCAAATTAATGGTGTTAAATTTGCAAATGAATTTTAGTTCTACAGTTTCTCTTTGAAGTCTGTTTCTGAGTTTTTTTTGTTCAAGGATGGCTACTTTTAAATCTGTTATAGAATGTCCAGGAAGATTGAAGTGTTCTCCTACTGGCTTTTGTATATTACCATTCCTGGTGTCCGATTTGTGTCCATTTATTCTTTTCATAGACTCCTTGTTGATTCTGTCATTTATGGACAATCTGGGAGTGTCATAAAAACTGTCAGGCAAAGATTGCAACTTCATGAGAATTTTGCAACTTTCCTTTATGCTTACATGGCTTTGTAACACCATGAGCAATTTTTGGAACACTTTATAGTAGGTACACTGCTTGACACTTAACCTAGCAGGTTGGCTGCTAGATGCTGCCAATTAATTAAAAAAACCAAACAAACCCAACAACAACTGATTAATGCAAGATATTTAGTCAGACATGAGAAATAACCCAATGATGGCTACAAGCACCCTCACAGGAAAATACTCAATACTATCGTTTTTTGAAAAAGAAAACACAACATGGTGTCCAAGAATGCAGAGAAGTATGACAATAATGCCTTTGCCATTTACAAAGGCCATGAAAATAAAATGTAGAAGACGAGAACTTCTCAGTCTGAACACCTGGCCTATGGAGTCTCTGCACACTAATTAAAACCTCACCAAGAAACCTAGCATTAAAGATAGTCCCAAAATACTGTAAAGTTCAGTAGTTCCTCTGCTGCCATCATGTACCTTGTGATTGGTGGAAAAAATACTTAATGTTCCTGCTTCCTAATGTTACTGAGTAGACCTCTGAGGAAATTTCTGTTTTCAAAATGAACACAAGAAGGAGTTTGATTATATCAGAACATGCATTGTTTATGACAAGGATCTCTAGACTCCCTGAATTTACTAACACCATTGGCGGGATTTAACAGACTACAGGCTGCAGACATTATAGTTTGTCTCTGTGGAACGTAGGCTTGATATAATTAATGAAGAGCTGGAACAACAAGGACTAAATAAAATGAATGAGAAGCTATAGAAACCTGTATGTTAAGTAACCAATAACTCATTACAAGTGCAAAGGTCACAGATTAAGCCCAGAAAAGAAAGGACTGAAACATGGATGAGTTCATTCCTTTCATACTTGACAATCCAGATTTCTCTTCCAAATCTGTCTGAGAAGGAGGCTGACATAATTCACATCTAGGTGCTGAGAAAGCAAATAAACTGGTAAAGGTGTATTGTCATCTCAAATTGTTGTTTGGAGTGGTGGTGTAGCTGGTCGGTCCCAGCAGAGCTCTGTGTAGCTCCAAAGCGTGTCTCTTTCACGAGTAGAAGTTGGTCCAATAAAAGATATTACCTCACCCACGTTATCTCTGTTGTTATCTCAGGACAGATCTGTTGGAGTGGCAAGCCTAATTAGTTGAATGGGAATATAGTTGTTTTGTGTCTTTCGTACAGAATTGGAAATTCTTTATTTTGAACAATGCATTCCTTGTTTATGTTTAAGAAATCAATAGGCCCAGTATTCTTTTATCCCTTTACCAAGAATGTGGAATGTTGGGGAAATTTAAACTGAACTGCAGGAAAGCAGGAGACTTCAGAAAGAATGAGCTCTTGCAAAGGGGGGAGTAAATAGGCAGGGGAGGCTAATGAGGCAGGTGATGGAGGCAAAGAGCATAAATGACTTCGACATCTCACTCCCTTCCTGGAAAAGGAAGAAATTGGGGTGCAGGGATTCAGTGAAAAATGTGGATTCTGGGATTGTTGACTTACTGCGGCTTCCTGATAATGTGAAGGTGGGAGCCTGGGAAGAGGCAAAAATGATTCTCCAAGGGCTTAGATGTGAGAAACATTTTAACAAATCAGCATTGAAATTAAATCTTCATGCTTCCATTGGTAATATTACTTCTCTGTCCACCTGCTCACTTTGCTGATGGCATGTATCACCTTGGTTCTGTCAGGGAGAGTCCCAGGTGAGAGCTCAAAAGTGGGCAGCATGCTTCCTTTCTCAGTGCCTGGACCATCAGTCCAGTTCTGCTGAGTTTGCCTGGACAAAGGAAGCATGTAGCTGAGATCAGAGTACCCTCTTGGGGCCAGGTATCTCTCTGGTTTCATCGAGAGGAAGATTCAGGCAGGTGGCATTGTCCCAGTCTGGCATAGAGGGGCAAAGGTGAAAAACTGACATTGCATGCGCTGTTTGGATTCAGGGACTTAGAGACAGGTCCTATCAAGGAGTTGGCTGGCTAGCTGGCTGGGGAATTTCCTTTGCAGTGCCTTCTCCAACCTACTGCTTTGAATACTGTTTTTCTACTTCTCAGTTGTTTGATCTGTTTTTTCAGACACTCATGGATCTGTGCAGCAAGTCTCCCTGTAAGAACAAAGGCACGTGCGTCCAGAGGAAAACCCAGTCTCAATGCATCTGTCCACCTGGTTGGACTGGCGCCTATTGTGACGTGCCCAACGTCTCCTGTCAGGTGGCTGCTTCACAGAGGGGTAAGTAGTGCTCTTCTGTGCTTGTAGCAAACAGTAGTTCTCAAAGTATTGTCATTGCGGATCTCCCCTCCTGAGATGCATTTGGAATCTGGGAGCTGTTTGCCCTTATGGGGCCACAGAGAAGCAGTATTAAGCTGTAGAAGGCTTAGGTGAGGTTTTAAAAGGAGATATGGCCCCCAGACACTCTCTGTCCCTTCCACCCATTGAAGCATTAAGTCCAAACTCCCTCTGATTCCTTCAGTTTGTTTATTGAACACTTTTCTTCTCCCTAGTTAGGGACTAGTTCTCAGGGAAAGCTAGCAACAGCTCACACTCCCCTAAGTCTGTGTTCATAGAATCATAGAATATTAGGGTTAGAAGAGACCTCAGGAGGTCATCTAGTCCAATCCCCTGCTCAAAGCAGGACCAACTAAATCATCCCAGCTAGGGCTTTGTCAAGCCAGGCCTTAAAAACCTCTAAGGATGGAGATTCCACCACCTTCCTAGGTAACCCGTTCCAGTGCTTCACCACCCTCCTAGTGAAATAGTGTTTCCTAATATCAAACCTAGACCTCCCGCACTGCAACTTGAGACCATTGCTCCTTGTTCTGTCATCTGACACCACCAAGAATAGCCTAGCTTCATCCTCTTTGGAACCCCCCTTCAGGTAGTTGAAGGCTGCTATCAAATCCCCCCTCACTCTTCTCTTCTGCAGACTAAATAGCCCCAGTTCCCTCAGCCTCTCCTCGTAAGTCATGTGCCTCAGCCCCCTACCCATTTGTGTTGCCCTCCGCTGGACTCTCTCCAATTTGTCCATATCCCTTCTGTAGTGGGGGAACCAAAACTGGACTCGGTACTCCAGGTGTGGCCTCACCAGTGCCAAATAGAGGGGAATAATCACTTCCCTCGATCTGCTGGCAATGCTCCTACTAATACAGTCCAATATACCGTTGGCCTTCTTGGCAACAAGGGCACACTGCTGACTCATATCCAGCTTCTTGTCCACTATAATCCCCAGGTCCTTTTCTGCAGAACTGCTGCTTAGCCAGTCGGTCCCCAGCCTGTAGCGATGCATGGGATTCTTCCTTCCTAAGTGCAGGACTCTGCACTTGTCCTTGTTGAACCTCATCAGATTTCTTTTTTTCAGTGTTCAGGGTTTCAGTAATCTCTGTTCCATAAGGGCTGCCCCTTTGAATGCTGTTGGACTAATTTGTTTTTGTGCCCTTCTGGTGAATCCCCAAAAGACCAAGTTTGAAACCCTGCCCTCCTTGTAGGTGAAAGAGGTCTGTTACACATCTGATGCCTTAAATGTGTGGTTGAGGGATATTGGTCAGTAGTTGCTTCATCTGCCTACAACTTTTGGGCCCGTACTCCATTACCGAATTCAAATAACGCAGATGGAAAAAACCTGATGCTAATGGAATGTGCTGCAGAGTTTTCCTAGAAGAGTCATCTTGGAACAAATCCAATTCTGGTTCCAAGAATGTCTGGAAGAGGTATTCTCAATACAAGGGGTGAAAAGGGCTTCTCCGGCAGGTGATGAGGATGGGGTGGAAACCAGTCTTTGCACACTTCGTTTTATGTACATTTTAGACGCAGAGACTCACCAAGTGGCAAAATATCTAGTGATATGAATAAAAGTATCCAAGCTGGCACTGCCAGTCATTGTCTGCCATGGGGCTAGTGGCAGTGGCCTGTCCAGAATCTGGGTGATTCTTTGTCAGGGTGAACAGTCTTGTTTTAAAGAATAGTTCCTAGGGTAGAAGTTTTGTGTGGGTTGGGTCTAGCCGTAAGTATTCCCAGGTGAACTCGTGACTATGAGGGCAGTTGGGAGCATTTTCTCCGAAATGTTGCTTTGAGATGGCTGCTTACTTTGCTTAATTAATTTTTATTGTAGGAGTCCACGTAGACCAATTGTGTCAGCATTCTGGCATTTGCTTTGATGTGGGAAACAGTCATCGCTGCCGATGCCACATGGGCTACACTGGCAGCTACTGTGAAGAGCAGTTGGACGAATGCACCTCCAATCCATGCCAGAACGGTGCCACCTGCCATGACTATCTCAGGGGATATCAGTGTGAGGTAAAGCTGGATGATACATAAGGGACAAAAGGAAGATGCTTAGCTCTTACTGACCTCCATTTTCATTGTACAAATCTTCACTCAAATCCTATCATTTTTACTGTGATCTGTTTCCCATAATGGTTACCAGGTCCTTTGCAAGTATATCTGATCATTTCCCAAACAACACTGAGACCTGGGGCATGTCTACACTTGCCGTTTAAAGCAGAAAAAGTCCCTTTTTTGCTCAAAAACCATGGGAGCATCTACACTTGCCAATGACTTTTTGCAGCGAAACTCAGAAGTTTCACTGCAAAAAGAAAACCACCTCCACGAGAGGCATACAGCTCTTATCAGTAATGCTTTTGTGGTGATGTGCAAGTGAAGACACATTCTTCCTGTTTACACAGCTTTTAGCCTCCAGAGGATGTCCCACAGTGCCTAGGCGACCACTCTAGCCAGCAGCTCTGCTGCCAGGTAAACAGACAACCACCCCTCCCCCTGTAAAGCCCCGGGAACTTTGAAACTCCGTTTTCTGTTTTCTTGGCAAGTGCTCACGTATCTGGCCAGGTGACAATGCCTGCTCCACCGAGCAAGTGATCCCGTGCTTGGAGCCATGCTGAGCTACTGGAGCTTATCAGTGTTTGGGGAGGAGGAGGCTGTGCAGGGACCCAGGATGCCTGTGATCACCCCCACCCCCTTCCCACAAGACCCATCATCAAACTGGAGAGAGCTGCACTGTGGAATAGCTGCCCTAGAGTGCTGTTCTCATCTGCGATGAAAGTGCTGCTAATGTAAAAACTCTCTGACCCCTGAGGAATTAAGTGAATACACAAACCAGCCCTTTACTTTCACCGATTCCCTATCACCGGTGAAACTTACAGTGCAAAAACTTTGCAAGTGTAGACATACCCTTACTCAAGTTGTGTTTGGTATGCACAAGACGTACCCAAGACAATTAGTGTACCTGAACTGTAAGCAAAGAGTGACAATTAAAGAGCAATGTGTGTCCCCTCGTAGGGTAGAGCAGTCGTTCTCAAACTTTTGTGCTGGTGACTCCTTTCACATAGCAAACCTCTGAGTGCAACCCCCCTATAAATTTAAAAACACTTTTTAAAATATATTTAACACCATTATAAATGTGGAGGCTGACCGCGACACCTCCCCCCATATAATAACCTCGTGACCCCCTGAGGGGTCCCGACCTTCAGGTTGAGAACCCCTGGGGTAGAGGAAGGTGTTGGGTCCTTTCTCCTTCTAGAGGAGAATAAGTGCCATGTTAATGACATTTTCCGATTATATTTAATGAGAAGAGTTCTATGTACCAGTTAGTCATAGTCCAAAGAGCTCTAAAGCTATTAGAAATGTGGTCAAACAGCAAAACAAGGTTTCATGTGGCGAAAAACACAGCTAATACACCTGAAAATAAGTTGAAACTTGGATACTGGCAAGGAGGGAGGCAGCACTCCAGAAGGACCTTCCGGCTGATAGTGGACAGTATTCCGCATAAGGTGATATGGTAGCTAGTTACTAAAATGTTATGCCCCCAGGGGGATGGATTTCTTCACCTCTCCCATCCCTGACTTCTGTGATTACATGAAAATAAACTAGAACATATTACAACATTTCCTATACTCATCTTGCTAGGGAAGTGGGGTCCACTGGCCTCCCAGGTTGGGAAGTGCCTCCAAGTCCTCTCCCTGATCCTTATGGCTGATGTACAGGGCTGTGTGGATTGACTCCAAAGGTTATTGTGTCCAACCCTCATTCCCAGGCCCTTGAGAATGGTGGTACATGCAGGATCTTGGAGGCACATTTCCTGTGGGGGTTGCATTTACATAACACTTAAAACACAAGTCAACTTCTACAGCAGCTGAATCTAATCAGGAGTTCCATGGGTGTCATGTGAGATTCTACTATGCAATGTAGTTGTAGCAGTGTCGGTCCCTGGATATTAGAGAGACATGGTGTGGGAGATAATCTTTTATTGGACCTGAAGAAGAGCTCTTGAAAGCTTGTCTCTCTCACCAACGGAAGCTCTTCCAATAAAAGATCTCACCTCACCCACCTTGTCTCTCTCATGTGCATCCTGTAAGCTGTCCACCGGAACAAGATCGTTCGCCTTCAGACATTCAATAGTTCCTTGGTCACATTCTGTGCTTGGTTACCTATGCTGTCCCACTGAAATTACTGATGTTGCACAGCAAGAAATGAGGGCAGCATTTGGCCTGCAGAGTATTTTGTCCTGTTTTAGCCTAGGGTGTGTCAGTCTCAGAGTATGCTACTGTGTTCATGCTAGGTGAAGATTATTTACACTTGTTTGGTTTTTATACTGATAGTGTGTGCCAGGGTACCAAGGAGTCAACTGTGAATACGAAATGGATGAGTGCCAGTTCCAGCCCTGCCAGAATGGAGGAACCTGCATTGATCTTGTCAATCATTTCATGTGCTCCTGTCCACCAGGAACTCGGGGTAGGAAACTCAGCAATTATGTAAAAACTACAAGAGGCACTTTCTGTTCTGGTGGACTGGCTTTAATGCCATAGAGTTCCCAGGGCTTATTGTACTTCCTCATGAAGAGGGCTGTTGAGTCAAGCACTCTGAGTGCCTGAGAGAAACAAATATCTTCCGTTACCTTTAAAAAAGGAACTGGATAAATTATAACATCAGGAATTATTTTAGCCAGGATGGTATTAGCTGTGTAAAAAGTGTGTTTAGTGCTTGCATAACTCCAGTGTCCTTTGTTCTTCAAGTTCTTAAGATTTCAGTCTCCACTTAACCTCAGTCACGGAATCCTTTTGTGGGAAGGAAGTTTGAACAAATCTGGTCTAACCTGTTCCACTGCAGCTAAACTGATTTTGATTACCCCATAGTCATCTAACAGTTGGCAAGCTTGTATATTTCAATGATGGGGATTCCATAACCTCCTTTGATAGCGTGTTTGATATAACGTTTGCTCAATTTAACCTCCATTTTCCCTGCTGTACATTAAGCTACTACTGTTGGTTTTGCCATAGTAGATATAGAGAAAGGTGTTATAAAGTGCACATGGGATCAAATGTTTTCACTAGTCAGCAAATACTTATCTCCCCTTAGTCATTTTCCAAATGAAACATGCCTACTTCGTTCAGCTTTTCTGCATAGATTTTGTTTCCCAAACCAGTTATAAACTTTTTATCTTCCTCTGAATCTTCTTCAGTTTATTTTCTGAAATGTGACGCCCTTACTGGAGCACAGTTAGAATCATAGAATATCAGGGTTGGAAGGGACCTCAAGAGGTCATCTAATCCAACCCCCTGCTCAAAGCAGGACCAATTCCCAACTAAATCATCCCAGCCAGGGCTTTGTCAAGCCGGGCCTTAAAAACCTCCAAGGAAGGAGACTCCACCACCTCCCTAGGTAACGCATTCCAGTGCTTCACCACCCTCCTAGTGAAATAGTGTTTCCTAATATCCAACCTGGACCTCCCCCACTGCAACTTGAGACCATTGCCCCTTGTTCTGTCAGGATCTCCAGGTAAGGCCAAATGTGTGCCAGGTAGAGCTGAATAGATGGCTCAGATGGATGCCAGCTGTTTTCAAGCCTTGCTTTTTGGGCATGGTGTGTCTGAGTTCATATACATTCTCTTGGAGTTCTTTAACTTGCAAGTGCTGCTGAGTTGCTAATCCTGAGGAAAATGTCCAAAGAAAAATGAGTTCTGAGTTCAAAGGAATGAAGAAACTGATAAATGAGTGTCCTAGAGCAGGGGTGGGCAAACCATGGCCCAAGGGCCAGATCTGGTCCATCAGGTCTTTGGATCTGGCCTGTGGGATTGCCACCCTTGTGGCCGTGCCGCTCCTGGAAGCGGCCGGCACCATGTTCTTGCGGCCCCTGGGGGAGAAGGAAGGGGCAGAGGGCTCCGAGCGCTGCCCTCGCCTGCAGGCACAGCCCCCCGCAGCCCTCATTGGGGAACCGTGGCCAATGGGAGCTTCGGGGGAGGTACCTGCTGGCAAAGGCAGCGCACAGAACCCTTTGCACCCCCCTCCCTCCCCCCAGGGGCCTCAGGGACGTGGTACCGGGTGCTTCCTGGAGCCGCTCAAGGTAAGCGATGCCAGGCTGGACCCTGCACCCCTCCCCCCAACCCCCTGCCCTGAGCCCCCTGCCGCACCCTGCACCCCAACCTCTTGCCTTGAGCCCCTTCCTGCACACCACACCCCCTCCCACACCCCACACTCCCTCCCGCAACCCAACCCCCAGCCCTACATTCATGGCCCTGCATGCAATATCCCCACTCAGATGTGGTCCTTGGGCCAAAAAGTTTGCCCACCCCGGTCCTAGAGGCAGAAAATTTGATTAAAATCTTGCATCCTAGAGGCAGAAAATTTAACTGAGCCACTAGGTAGATAAGTTCTGTGTAAATTAGACCCCAAAGAGCTGTATTATCTCTAAATAAAAAAAATAGTGTTTGAGATCCTTGATGAAGATAGCTGTTGCCATGCACATATTGGGAGTGGCCAAACAAAAGGAGCTGGCAACTTCTGGCATTGTCTGTTCAACTGACAAGACTATTTTCCAATTGGTCACTTATTCATAACCCAGTGTGTCTGAGTCTTGACCATTCGCAAACTGTGCTCATGTATTTTGGTTGGAGATCAAAATCTGCTGAGTTTCCAATGCATCCATACTTATAAGGTCTAAACTAGGAACTTACATTGGAATAGCAGTGTCTCTCAGGGGTGTGAAAAATCCACCCCCTTGAGAGACAGCTATACTGATCTTACACCCGGTGTAGACAGCGCTAGGTCAATGGAAGATTTCTTTCGATGGGAGAAGCCCTCCCGTTAGGATAGGTAGTGTCTACACTGAAGCACTACAGCTGCTACGTTATAGTGTTTTAAGTGTAAACATGCCCTAAGAAAACAATGAGTGACATAATATGGCTCTTGTGACTTTTTGCTTTGCAACTGTATTTTTTTCAAATGGCCAAAATATATTTAGAAATTCATTAATTGCAACTGATTTTACTTGTTGGTATAGGTTACCTGCTATAATGAAAATGTTTTCTTTTCACGAGATCAAATACATTAGCAAATTAACAACATTGGACAAGACAGTTTACATTATACTCTTGATTGCTGCATTTGTAATCATTATATAGTGGTTTTACTGCTAATTGAAATAAAATATTGAAAAATAAGTTCTGGCTTATTAGAAGAATCTGAAACCAAAAGAAAACTAAAATGTATATGTGCACACAAAACCCAATATTTGAATTAGATATCACATGCAACAACATATGGCTTAGTTTTATCCATATGTATTATATGGACATATTATGCTGTCTTCCCACTGACTATCTTATCTTATCACCCCCCTGCTGACGCCCCAAACAGCCTCTGTCACTCCCCCTATCCTTTTCTGTGGCACAGTCTGCCTCCATACTTTCGTAGATAACCAGAATTTATAAAATTGAAGCTCTACTTTACCTACAAATGCCACAATTTCATATCTTGGAAGTTTACTTTGGTATGTTTGCCTAGAAATCATTCAATTTAAATGTTATAGTACCCTCTCTGGAAACAAATAATTCAATAGCAAATTAAGGGCCCAGTGCAGCAGTGCACTCTGGCTTCTTTGTGCTGTTCTGATAAGTCAGATTTGCAGCTGCTTTTTGTTATCTGACCAATACACTTCAGCTACTTTGCACTGCTCCAAAGCAGCTCAAATCAGCGGCTGTAACTAAATCTATCCCCAAAAGTTAAATGGAAAAAACATAAGGTTGCTACTACTGAACCCATTAGAGATTACATGGTAGAATTCTCTCTCTCTCTTTTTTTTTTTTGTCTTCATATATTAAACTTCCCTAAAGGAAATTCTTAAACAAAATTGCATTACTGTAGGGTTAAGGTTTAACAGCATACTACTTCCATTCTGTCTTCTTCGTCACCTGTTTTTCAAAACATAGCTTTCAATACAAGCTTGCATTTTAGAGCCAATGAGAGCAGACATTTCTTGCCCTGTTAACTTTTTCTCCTCTGAAGGTTATGCAGCACTAAGTACACTGCTGAAGAGCTAGGGAGGAGAGAATTATTGTGGATTCTGTTTGTTCGTGTTCCTATCACAGTTTCTTTCACCTAGGGCCTTTGGCTTCCTTCATAACCACTGTTTGTTCTCTCATTCTTTTGTGCCTCTTGCAACAGGCAGGGCCGGCTCTAGGCACCAGCAAAGCAAGCAGTTGCTTGGGGAGGCAAATTTGCAGGGGCGCAAGAATCTGGCCTGGGAGCTGAGAACCAACAGGGGGCCCTGGGAGCTGTAGTTCCTTGGTTAGCTCCCTGCCTATAGAGCCGGCCCTGGAGCAGGGAAAGAACTACATTTCCCAGCATTCCGTCGGCCGCAATTAACAGGAAAGGGAGGGGGAAGGAGTGTGGAACTGAAACCTCATGCTGCAGCTTGCTGTGAATGGTAGGAACAGAGCCAGCTCTAGGTTTTTTGCTGCCCCCCACCCCAGCCCTGGGCTCCCCCTCACAGCCCCGTGTTGCCCCAGCTCTGGACTCTCCCCCGCCCACACCCCCTGCTGCCCCAGCTCT